ATTCTAATATAGCCCCTATTTGAGTGAAATTAAAAATTTTCTTTCTTATTCTTTTACTCATTTTCAACTACACATTCTTCAATAATTTTTTTTCCATCACATCAATAACTTCTCATTCTTTTTCAACCACACATTCTCCATTAATCTACTATTTCAAAATACATTCTTTCAAAATAATGTGGCTCAAACACACCGATAATATAATTAACTCACCCCCACCTCCACCACCCCTACCGTTCCGAGGACTATTCCGGCGATCGTTCCAGCCATCACTCTTCTCCGGCTATCGTTTCGAAGACCATTCCGCCGCAGCTTTATTCCGACGACTGCTCCAATTTCGGCAATTTATACAATATGGTCATATATTCACAATTTAGATAGTCACATATTATTTTTCAGTAACAAATAATAATTTTTATACGTCAAAAATTATTTTACGGTTGCAGTTCAAAAATTTTGTAGCTCACAATTAATTCGTTGGTCACAGATGTCAAAATTAGTTTGTCACAGATCAAATTTTATACGTCACACAGTCACAGATTTCCAAATTAGTTGGTCACCGATTTTTTCACGGTCACAGATTATATAATTTTTAGGTCACGGATAATAAAATGGTTGGTCACGAATTATATTTTTAGTCACAAAACCAAAATCACTAGATCCGACAAATCCTCCACTTGCACCACCGTTGACTGCCACCACCATTGTCAACCCACCACATACCACATCTGGTCAATTACCACCGCACACCGACAGTGCCACCACCATCGCAAGCAGATCTGACCAGCAACAACCGTGGTACAGACTGAAACGCAGCCACAGACCACCAGCAACACCGCTAAAACAACACCCCACACCACCTCACAACACCCACTACACACCGCACACACCGCCATCACCACCACAAAAGAAGCAGGTTCCCATAGAGCCCTTACCTAACTGTAGAAGCGGCGAGGGCGAGGACGATATCGCTGTCGATGCTCACATCGCTGGCTGTGAGGGTGAAGCACAGCAGGGACGATGCCGCTGCAATGTCGTTGCAATACTCTCACATCAAAAGGCCTTGTAGCGGCGTTTGGAGGTGTCTCCGACGATGGGTGCACCTATCGAACTCTAGCAGTGGCGAGGGCGATGTCGCTGTCGGGGCTCACATCGCCCGCTGCGAGGGCGGGCACAACAGTGACGACGCCACTGCTCGAACCTCCGGCGGCGGGAGCTCCTCAATACGACGACAATCTAAGGGTAGATGAAAATGGAGATGGTAAAGAGAGACGAGGATAGAAGGAGATGTAAAAGAAAAATGATTTAGGGTTTGAGA